TTCAGTTATGAGATAGACAAAGTCACAGCTGGCCAGCGTTTGGATCTCAATCTTGAAAGAGGGTACGCCTTCTTCATTACTACCTGCCTTTTTCTAACAAACGAGAATATGTTCTTTCTCATTTTATTTATAAAAAAGCTGGTCACTTGCGCAGGAGAATTCGCGACGAGCTGAACAATCAAAATCAAGAAACCACTAACCTGACTAATAAACTTGATCGAGTGAGTATCTTTTGTATTTGGTTGTGTAAAAAGTTGATAACTTGTCGACCAGGTGTAAAGCTCAAATACTATCTCTGAGGTTTTTAATCTAACGGCAGAAAGTGAAACCTCATTCTCTTTTGAAATGACAAATAACGTCATTTTGTAATTCTTTCTCGAACAAATTCCCATTATTGACACTCGCTTGTGAATAGTAACTTGAACAAACGTGGCTAGTTTCGCTTGGAATCAAATGATTGTTGATAAATAAACCCATAAATTGTTAAATCTGTTGTACATTTGATGTAATTGTTTCCTTTTCTGTCATGCGATTTTAGGAAATTCATGCATTGCGTGCTCAGTTAGAAGCAGCGAAGTATGATGTGATCAAATACTGCATAGGTTCGTTAGCATCTGTGGCTGCCGTTGGTCTAGCCGTAATCCGTATTCTGATGTAAGTCAGGCTTTAGGTATTTCAAAACAAAGGATTTTATACTTTTTTATAGATTTAAAATCCTTTGTCTAAAAGATAGGGCTAGCCAAAGTTGTTGTATTCTTTGATTGTAATAGTTATCATGCTTATATTTGTAATGTAACTTTTCTAAGGTTGAACTGATGTGGTATTTGATTGTTTCATGTAATGCTAACTAAATTCGATATACCGTACATTGACATTGGAGTTGGAAAAAGTGCTAAATGTGCGCTTAAATGAAATATTTCTGAGTATAGGTTGTAAATTGAAGAGAAAGGAAAGATACAATCATTCAGTGTGCTAAGAGCATCTCTAATAGAGTTTTTCNTCATACAATATAGATATCAAATCGAAACAAATGAAGAGACGATTGATTTGATATAATATAATGATTATTTTTAAAATATATTTACAATTTAAGTTAGTAAAGTGTATTATAATTAAAAAAAAAGATTGGGAGAAAAAGAAATATTGAGCAAAAAAATTTCATCCATTATAAACCACGTCCAAAATAGAAAATTATATTAAACACAATTAATGCTCATAAAAATGGTCACAAATATTCTGTATATTTATGGATATCACAAACATAATTATTTATAGATTAAAAGTAAATTAAAAGTTATCCTAACCAAACAATTAAGCATGAAATTTTGTCAAATAAGACCCCGAAGTTTGTGAGCCTGTCACTTAAGGTCAACACATTCAAGAATTATAGAGAAATTGAAGAGGGGAAAGATATTTTCAATGACGAAATTGCAAAATCCTTGAGTTGATTATTTTTTCCAATAATTTATTTTTATAGTCAGTTCAATTAATTAACTATTTTAATTTCAACTCATATATTTTAATCATATTAAAATAGTTTGACACTCTAATATGATTACTTACAATTAATGTTATTATTTTTGTTCATTTTTGTTGTTAAATATAATTTTTTAAATAGTTTTTAAATTTATTAAGATACCAATAAAAAAACCATACTGTAAATAAAAATGAATTGAGAATGCGGGCAATATATCACATAAACCTGTAAAGAATGGTGGAGAAGAGAGGGTTAAGTATATATTTTTATAGTCCGGGCATATTGGTAATTTAAAAGTTTTATCCTATATCTTGACACATTCATAAAATCTTGTCTTGTAGCATCTATACTTATATAAGAATGGATCTTATTTACTACAAATAGTATCCAGAAAAGTCAACTGCAATTAATGTTATTACTATTTTCAGCATGTATTTTATTTAATTATTTTATATTGAAAGTAATGATATGCAATTCAATTAATGTTATTAGTATTTCCATACAATCGGTTTTCCTGCGAAAAAATTCCCAAAATCGGCTTTAATTTTTTGTATATTTAAATTTTTTTTTCTTATCTTCTATTTGTTTTATCTCATACAATCCGTTTAGTCAACAAAATCCCATAAAATCGTTTTGAACTTTTTGTAGATTGAAATTGAAATTTCCTTCTTATCTTTTTACCAAAAATTTTATTATTTATGTATTGAAATTCTGTAATCCGATTTCAGGTTGTATCATTAAGAATATATTATAGTTATATTATCAAATCATAAAAAGATACTAAATCTATATTGTAAAAAAAATAATTCATATAATTTTATAACAATTCTACTACACTATTTAACATTATTCCTTTTTATTAGGGATGGCAAAACGACCTGGACCCGGTCCGACCCGCCCTGACCCGGAGCATTTGGGGCAGGGAAAATTTGCCCCGTTTCTATAACGGGCCGGGCCAAGTCCGACCCGTAGGATAAGCGGGCCAGGTCCGGGTCTTGAATCTCGGCCCGCCCCGACCTGCCCCGACCCGGCCTGACCTGCCCCAGGCTGATTTTTGTCTTTTATTTTTTTATAAAAATTATATATCATATATATAGTATATAATGTAAATTAGGGAATAGGGATTAAGGTTTGAGAAAAGAGAAATTTATGTCCCTTTGCATCTCGCTCTCGCACAGCCACAACCGCACCATCCCTACTCACTCCATCACTCGTCGCCTCTCTCTCACAGTCGCTATCTCCGGCGGTCCGGCGTCTTAAGCCTCTCGACACAGTACACACTCGCGAAGTCCGACAAAGCCTCTTCTTCGCGCCTCGACCGCTCGACGCCTCACCTCCGAAGTCCGACCCAAAAGCTCCGGCCGCTCCTCGCCTTGCCTCTAAGACCCGCCTCACCTCCGAGGCTCCGACATAAAGGTTCGACGCCCCGCCTCCGACTCGACTCCAATTTCAGATTTAAAAAAAAAAAAATGTTCAATGCTATCGTGTATTAGTATGTAATTAGATGTTAAGAACTTAAGATGTTGAAATTGAAATATATTTCTTGTGATTTGAATTGCTGTGGAATTTGGTATGACTGGGAGTTAGGATGGATTTATGTTTAGGAATTAGGATAAATTGCTGTGTTGTTATCTTGAGTTAGGATGGATTTGGTATGGCTTAAAAGGAAGATGAATTGCTGTGCTGTGCATATGTAACTTTTCAGTTGTTTTTTTTTTTCTTTTTCTTTTTCTGTTGTGAAGCAGCAATCTGCTGCAACTGTGTTGCTAAATTGCAACAATGGAGCAAAAAACATAGGTCAAGGCGGGTCGAACTGGGTCAGGCACGGGCCACAGGTCAGGTCGGGCCGACCTGCCCCGAAACGGGTCAGGGCACGGGTCCGATCTGTTGGACCCGTCACGGGTCACGGGCCAGGTCGGGTCCACAGGGCAAAAACACGGGCCAGGTCTGGGTACGTAGGTACCCGGCCCGACCTGGCCCATTGCCATCCCTACTTTTTATTATATAATAAAATAATAATTAAATATTATATAGTGAACAACAATAGGTAAAAGTGTTACTTTCTCTTATATCAAGGGATAAATTTATATGCTAAAATTAATATTTTATTAGTATAAATGTTTTAGTGAGATAATATATTAATATTTTAATTCTACAAACTAGCCCTAATATGTTCATATTTAATGTTCTGGCTAAAAAAACAACGCTGATTAAAAGATGTGGAAAAAAAACTTATAATAACCCTATTGTTTTTTAGACTTAACGTTAATTAAAAGAAGTAGAAAATGGATAATAACCTTATTATTTTTTAGACTTAAACGAACAAAGGTGCGAAAATAACTCATTTAATATCTCTGTCTCGTACAGGGGCGGAGCCATCCATGGACTAGGGTGGCTCCAGCCCCAGGTAAATTAAAAAAAAAAAAAAAAATCACTTTACATTTTAGAATATTCTCGTATATAGCCCCATGTATATATATGTTAATCCTATTTTTTGAATTTTCCCAATAACATAAGCCCAACAAATTTTTAAGTTAGTCCAACAATAAAAGCCCAAAATATTAAAATCTATTATCTTCCTTTTATACCAAGTCTCAATTCATCCATTAATTAGTCTTCTTCATTATTAATTAAAAGTTAAAAAGGCCAAAAGAAAAAAAAAATCTCACAATCAAGAAAACAAACACAACTTTAGCATTTCTTATTTTATTTGTAGCTCAATGTAAATATTAGTCTAGCTCAATTTAGCTCATATGTTTTTAGGAAGAAACTCAATAATTTATTATTTTTTCATTCTCAAAAGTAGAAGATGTTGGAACCTTTTTTTATTAAAAAAAAAAAACACAAATTATTGCTTATTCTAATTTTATTTTACAAATTTGTAAGAAGATTGTATAATGTTTGTTTTAATAGTGCAATGAAGATATTTCTTATGTTTTGTAATGATCAAGAGTTAATATGAATTGATTTGTGAGAAAAAAATTAGAAATATGTTATAAAACTAGAGAGAAAGAGAGAGAATAGAGAAAATGTATTCTCTTAGGTACAATTTTCATTATAACTGAAGGTCCTATTTATAGGAAACTTCTGATGGCACAACTCGTAATAATACAAATACATCGAGGGCAAAATAGTCATTCACATATATTATTTTATTATTTCATAACACTCCCCCTTGAATGACTATTTTCTAAACATATTTTAACTGATTTGAACAAAGCCCAATCTGCACATCTTCAAGTGTATCTTGTGGCCATCAGGTACCGTTGCTCCAGCACGTCAGGAAAACCCAGTAGGACAAAACCTGATCATCTTGAAATCATAACATTGTTTCTTCAGGAAAACCCAGTGGGACAAAACCTGAGCATTGTGGAAGCACAACATAGCTCCCCCTCAAATAGATCATCTTTAGTAGAGTATCCATGTGTGCTGCCTCGTTAAAACCTTGTCAAGAAAACCCAGTGGGAAAAAACTTGATCGAAGGAAAAAGAGTACAGCTACTCCAGTCTCTCTTATCGCCGTGAGGAATCATATCATTTATCCAATAGTGCTCACAATACCATGAATATGCCTCGTTAAAACCTTATTAGGAAAAACCCAGTGGGACAAAATCCTAATGAAGGAAAAAGAGTACACTATTCATATGAATACGCTATCCTTGTTGCCTCATTAAAAACCTTGCTAGGAAAACCCAATGGGACAAAACCTCAGCCAAGGGAAAAAGAGTACAACGCGTATTTCATATATTCACCATAACAATCTTTCCATAATTTGCATGAGTATCATATAAATTCTTTCGGATTTGTAGATACTGATGGTATTCACGACAATATGTCATATCATGCTTTGTGCAATTTTTATTCTTAAACTCATTCTCATCATCAATTGATTTCAATGGTCTTATTGCCAATAATTCCCAATATTCACATTTCAGCTGATTTCATTTTCGACAATATTATTTATATAGCGCTATTCATTTGTTTATGTCAACACTTATTCATCTCCATTATTCTCCGTAGTATATTGAGATATCTCATTATCAATTGATTCCATCAATGGTTTATATATGCCTCCTTTCATCACATATTTGGGGGATTTCAATTTGTACAATATCAACGCTTCCAGCGTATTATTCCACCAACATATCATTTCATATATTTCACATCATCAGTATCATACAGTTTATGATTCGCACACTCTCAGTGTGATGCATATATCATTTCCAAATTTCAATCATTGATTCTCCCCCTCATCTTAACAGATCCCTGATCTGTATTTTTAGTATTGAATTTCTTGAGGGGAGTTCATATAGTCTCTATTTTGTTCTCGATTTCAACATATATTTGGAGGACTTTGAACTCATATCATTTGTAGTGTGCACATTTTTCTTTCAAGAGTTCATCATATCAGGTGAGTATATTACTAGCTTCATCACTTTCATATGACACTTATTTTCATTATTTTATAATCATCTTGTGTCATCCTTAGATCAAACCATCTCGTAACTTCAGGTTATATGTCAAATCATCTCGTAACTTCAGGTTACGAATCACACACATGTGGCTATCTAGTGGATCCATAATATCTAGTAGCACACATGGAGGGGTAGTGGGCCCATATATATCGTACCCCTTTCATACGCAGATTGATCATATATCGATTCATAAATATTTAGCTAGTAATATTTTTCACTAATCGGGAACAAGCATCTCATATCACAAAGAATAAGTTCATCATGCAAACCATCATCAATAATATCGGTAAACATTTTTAAAGTGATCACAATAATTCGTTGTGACATGTTTATCACAAACATTTCACATCATCTTTCGGCGGCAATAAATGCACTTTAAGTGTAGGCTCTGGTATAATATCTTTTAACCACTGTTTAAATCCAGAATCGTATCATGCTGTCTGACACTCATACTTTTGAACACTGTTTAAGTCCAGATCGTATCTCATACGCATCATATTTTTCTATAAATTATCAGGTAATTCATTCAATTTTCTTTAACAAAGGTCCAAATTTACAAATGGATTTAGCACTCTCAAATATCCGTAAATATTATTCTTTTCTTCCGAAAAATATCATAAAAAGGATTTATCGATCTCGATTAGAAAGATTGAGGATGCTAATGAATAATGGTATTCCAAATGATGTTAGATGGTTGATCGAAGCACAAGTTCGATTGTCTGAAGAGTTTCCAAATTCATATAAATATATGCCAGGTATGGGTAAAAGTACTTATGCAAAGAAACGAAGAGCAAAAAGGTTAGGTGGATGCTTCAAATGTGCTCGATGGACTTGTGACACACGATGTATATCTGTGGGGTACGTGTCCAAAAATCGAGAAGATAAAATAACGTTTATAAAGGATGGATTGAGTAAAGAGTCTTTGGATCAAACGATTCAACAGATTATTGAGACACATCCTAGTGGATATGTGCATCGTGAGCTTATGTCTTTATGGACTCAGTTCAAAAGTGAAGAAGAACGTTATAGTCTCAAAAATATTATTTCAAAAGATCAAGTTTGTAAAATTGGTCTTGTTAGTACGAAAAATCATACTAATATAGTTTAGTATGTTGTACTGTAATTTTCTAGAAAAACTTATAGTTGCCGACAGATAAGATTTATTTAAAACCCAACACCTTATCTGTCAGTTGCAATTGTCAGAAGAAAACAGTAAAATTATTTATTGCTTTGTAAAACTTTCTATTTAAATAGCGAGTCGTTCATCATAATCATATGCCTCACAAAGTTTTGAAAAATTCAGTTTATCAATAAATAGATGGATGTTTCAGAGTCTTCGCAAGGTAATAATTTTCTTCAACCGATCAAAACCATATGTGTTCTTGGTGGTTCTAAACTGGTAAGTTTTTCTCAAACTATTGATATTGTAAGTCAGTTAGTCAAAGAGATGGGGAATCAAAAAATCAATTTGCTGTATGGAGGGACTAGCAATACTTTCTATGATAGTCTCTTAATGGCTGGACAATGTTTTGAGATAGAAGTGAAAAGTATCATACCTTTTCGTAGAGCTTCAACAAAGGTCGTCAAGGATTCCACAAGCATGATGTTAACTCATTCCATTCATGATTGTATGATGGATAGGGTGAACAATAGCGATGCTTTTATCATTCTTCCAGGCGGGTATGGAACGCTAATGACAATGTTCACCATTGCTTTATGGGCAGAATTGAAACTTCATAACAAACCCATAGGTCTATTGAACTTTAATAACTTCTTTCATGGTTTGCTTGGATTTTTAGACATAGGAGTATATCAAACCTTTATATCTCCTTCAATGAGAGAAGTATTCAAATCTGCTGACACGTCTTCTGAGCTTATCAAAAAGCTTCAAGAATGCATCACATTTCAAGATTCTGTGGAAACACAAGGGGTCAAGCGAAAAAAAGCTTTTGATCATTTAGATCTCTCATTATGAACCCAGATATTATTCAAATATGAACCCAGATATCATTCATGGGTGGCAGAGTTACGGAGTTTTACACTCTCGAGACGCACCCTTCTTTTATGGGTTCTATTATGTAATCTTGGCGTATTTTGTATTCATCGAGTATTTACTGCCTCTTTTCCATATTTCCACCATCTGAACATTTTGTACTTGTTTCTCAGTAATAATAATATCAATTTCGATTTTTCTCAGTGTATAGTAGTTCATGACTACAATCAATTATCATTTGTGCTTCTTCCGGAGCACTTTATTGTAATATCTGTATGATCTCGTATCCCAATGTGATCTCGTCATCTGATATAGCCCCTTAGACTCATATAATATATTGAGAAATCATTTTTGTGTGATCACCCATAGCTGGTAGCTTTTGATACCACTTTCTCATTTTGTTCAATCATCCAATGGTAGCTTCTAGTACAATTTCATCATTTTGTTTAATCGTTATATGGTAGTTTTAAGTACCATTTATACAAGGATATCATTTAATCATTATATCATAACTTTCGACATCACATTAATCACGTGGTAACTACTGGTACCATCTCGTCAATATTCGTTTTTCCATAAATTTGGAGAATTTATCAATTATTTCTCCAGGATCATATTATTCCATATAATGTCCTTTCATGATCAGGACTTTAATCAGCTTTTCATATGGCCGGATACACAGTATCATTAATTTCATTCATCGGCTATCACTTAATTTGTACTGCCCGTCGCCGGCGGCAGAGCCGCACTGGCCGACGCATGTATATATAGCCATTCATATTATTTGTTGCATATGGCCTTATCACCTGGCTATTCCACATCATCAAATACCATTTAGCCGTTTAAATATTTTACTATATGTTTTCGGTGGCCGCACCGCTTGTTCATATTTCTTTATAATTTTTTTTCAATCCAGAGTTGACCCGTCGGCTACTATTAAATATCACCTGCCGGCGATAGAGCCGCACTGGCCAGTTTGTATAGCCACACATATTTCTTTTCATATCATATGGGTCAATCCATAAATATTCACATGTCCACGTACCAAATAATTTTTTCAATAGAAGAAAATCAACAGTTCATAATGACAATATATATTAATATAATTCAATAAATCATATCAATATTGGTCTTAAAACGAATCTCTAATTAAATAGGAAATTGTGAAATAGGGAAAACTGAATTTTGATAATCAATACTTTTTATATTTAACGAACTCCAATGACGAGTGTTAACTTCTTGATGTGAAATTAATGTGCCTGATATTTCTATACCAATGCAACTGTGTTTGAGCAATATAATTTGTCACAAGGACCCACCAAAACAAAATGGAAAACATATTATAAAAAATTATAAGCTCATAATGTGTTTTGGCATTTATGTCAACTTGTAAATAGTAAAACTTGGTGAATGTGTTGCCATTAATCATTTGTCATTTTTTAATTGTCACGAGGCCCACGATTCACTATTATATCACCTATTTTGATTTTCCCCACCTAATGAAAGATCATTATTACTCTTTCATCAAATACCTTTCGTCTTCCTCTCCATCAGACATTTCTAAGCTACTTATTATATCCTTCAAGCTTCAATTTGTTACCTCTCAAAGTTCATCATTTTATGTCACTGGAAAAAGTATTAAATAATAGACGAGATAACAAAATCATGAGAAGCTAAATACATGCTGGTGAATGAGTTTTGGCATACCTCTCTGGTAAAGTATTTACCATTTATATCATGAGCTTCGTGAATCGGGAGCGTTTTTCTTTCCTACGAGTTTGAAGCTGGAGGCTAGGATGATGATAGTCTTTCTTCTCATGGTGCTTAAGATCTTGGTTGCTTTAGGAAAGATGGGTCGAAATAAAGTCATGATAAAGTAGAGAGAAAAATCAGATTTCTTGCCATGGGGGGAGTTGATTCATAAGAAGAACAATAAGTAATATTCAGATTTCTGATACGGAGGTTCATCTTCAAGATGCAACCGTAGAGCATACTCTCGTCATATTACAAATCGAGCTCTAGAGGGCAGAGACTCGTGCTGATAACGTGTTATAAAACTAGAGAGAAAGAGAGAGAATAGAGAAAATGTATTCTCTTAGGTACAATTTTCATTATAACTGAAGGTCCTATTTATAGGAAACTTCTGATGGCACAACTCGTAATAATACAAATACATCGAGGGCAAAATAGTCATTCACATACATTATTTTATTATTTCATAACAAAATATACTTAGTTTGAATTTATGCACACAACTTGTGATGAAAGCACAACTAAATATTTGAGATAATATAATTAAATTTGTATAGGCTAAGAATTGAATATTTGGACATGATATAAGTCTCTATATCTTTTTTTTTTATAGTTTTTTTCTTATTTTTTTTTTCTTTCTTATTTTGGTTAAATCATATTGAATCATTTTATTTAAAATAATATTGGTTATTTATGTAATTTATATTACACTACATATGGAATATATCAATTATTCTATAAATTAATTTTATATATTTTGTTTCTTCTAGAATTCCAATAGAATATTTATTTTGTGATTGAACTTATGGATTTTAATAATTTAGTTTTGACATTTATTGGATTTTTAAAATATACTTTCATTCATTTAACTTTGTAATTTATGTAAGTTGTATTGAATATTAAAAAGAATTATTTTCAAACATTGATTTCTTTATGCTTGGCATCTAGCTAAGATGTTATTCGAGTCGAGCCAAGTCGGATATCTCATGTTCGACTTGTGATTATTTAATAAACAAACTTGATTGGATTTTCGAGCTTAGCCTTTTGAAGTATGAAATAGTTGAGTTCGAGCTTTCACGAGCCGAAATGAGTTGTGTTCGTGAATAGTTTGATTCGAATAATAACTCAATGTTAAGCAGCCCCGGGTAAAAAAAATTTCTGGCTACGCCCCTGGTCTCGTACGTACATCGCACGGAGTACGTAGTAGTTTCTTTCTAACAAACTGATGGTACATAGGCTCAACAGTGCAATATTGGACAAGAGATCAAAATTGTCCAATCTAATCCAGTGAAATAAACACTAGTGTGTAGCCCGTGCTATACACGGGTAAATAATATTAATAATAATTATAAATTAAAGATGAGGATAAATAATATTAACTATAATTATAAATTAAAGATGTGAGCAATGTTTTAAATATTGTACCGTACCGACCGGAATTACCGGTAGTCCAAACGGTATTACCGGATACCGGTGGACCGACCGGTACAATTACATTGAAGATATCGTTTTGGCCAAAATACCCGTTTATACCGGTTTTATATCGCAAAATATTGGTTTTACCGGCAAATACCGGTCAAAATACTGGTATATGCCAATTATTTTTAAAAAAATATATTTTTTAATATATTTTCATTAATCTATTTATATAAATTGAAAGTTCTACACTTAATTTCAATATGTCTACATTGTTATTAAATGTTAATTAATTTTATTAATTAAAGTTAGTTTTGTACATTATTTATATTATAATAACAAATTAATTTAATATTTATCGAAACCGGTAAAATAGATGGAACCGCGTACTATTGGCTCGTCTAGTATGATTACCATTAAGGTATTTAAAACACTGGATGTGAGGTTACATGTGATAAAATAGTCTATTGTAACATTATAAAATTTATCTTGTACTCCCTCCTATTCATAATAAGTGTCGTTTTAGGAAGTTGCACACTAATTAAGAATAATTTTTTTTGTCAATAATAACCTCATTAATGAAGATAGAGATGGATGTTTTAAAAAAAAAGATGAAGAGAATATGAAAAGACGTAGTGTATTTATTAACTAAATGAGGGTAATAATGAAAAAATATGTACAAAAGATCCAAAACGACATTTATTTTGGTTAATAGTTGATAAAGCCAAAATGACATTTAAAAAGAATAGGAGGTAGTATAAAAGAACATAAAAAATGTGTGTTTAAAATATTAAATGTGAGAGAAGATTTACATATTATATATAAATTAAATCTTGAGATGATATCGAAAATTATTACGTAATCTCTGTGTGAAAATTTGAGTATAAAATAAACGGAGGCTTAACAATTCCACGCTTTATGCATACGCTTCATTTATCAATTTTATATAATGATTTTAAAATCTCGTTATTAAGATTTTTAGTCAAACGCGTATCAACAAAGTCTACATTCTTAGGATTTATGATGAAATATGAATAAATGATTTTTTTATAAAAGAAATCCGTATTTATTTATTTTTTAAAATCAATGCAAACTCATACAGAGTTTTTATTCTTAACAAACTCCTACCATTTTAATTAAGTTATATTATTCCAGTTTGAACTTCATTATGATTTTAAAATCCGTACACGTGGTCATAATTTATATCAAGTAAACAATCCCCATATTTTTAGAAATCACTATTTATCTGTTTTTGAAAATCAATGCAAACTGCTTTAATCACTTTCTAATATCAATTTAATTAAATAAAAAAATGAGGCAAATTTGTACCAAATTTTAAATTCTCGTGCTCTATTACGACAACAGTTTTTCAATATCAAATTAATTAAATGAAGTTATTTTTTAATAAAATTCATTTAAGTTTTTTTACTAAAATGAACGATGCATGCTCGTACCAATTTCCAATTCTCCACAATTTGAATAAGGGCTCCTTAACTTTTGAATAATGCTAAATTTCGTGTCTATCATTATGTTTGCGGGCAAATTTGAAATTTGTACGAAAGTTATTAGAAAATTGTTACCATTTGAATTTGAATTAAAGATTTGTATGAAAATTTATAGGAAATTGTTAACAATTGAATTTGAATTAAAGATTTTTTTTTTTCTGTTTTTCCTAAGTTGGTTAAGGAAAGCCACCATATTTTATTTAAATTTCTATTCCTTCCTTATTTAGAAATTTTGAAATTTGTTTTGCTTGCTATATTTACTAAATAGTTATTCTTTTTATATAAGTATAAATTTTGAAAACAAAAAAAGAGTTTTGGAAATATAACCCATTCGAATCTGTAGGATATCTAAGCATATTTGTTGCAGGTGATTAATAAGTCTACATGGTTTGATCCGAATCTGTTTAAAGAAAAAACATATACATAGTTTAGATAATGTGTAATTTTTGAACGAATAAAACCCTTCAGGGATTTTGTTTCTTTAAACTATAAAAAAATTTTTGACCAGATAATGTAGTTCACGTGACATCTTTAAAATAAAAAAGAAGAAAATTCCATTAATGGAAAGTAAATATGATAAGGGAATTTGACCAGATACTTGACCTACCATTTTTTATAAATGGTAAATCTTATTATATAAGTATAGATGCTAAATGGAAAATAAAAAAGAGAAAAAAGTTACGAAAAACCAGAGCGCGATGCCCGACCGCCCCCTACCCACACATAACACACCGCCGCCACAGGCACCTCAATTAAGCGGGCACAACAGCCTCGTGCTCGGAACCGCCGTGAGCCTGGTGGCGCGTGGCGCCGTGAGCCCGAACACATCCCCCATATCCAGGTCCCCGGGCTTCATCCCGCCCGGCAGCTCCCAATCGAAGCAGTGGAGCAGGTGCGCCACCGCCATCTCGAGCGCGTGCAGCCCGAGCTGCATCCCGGGGCACGACCTCCGGCCCGATCCGAACGGTATGAACTCGAAATCGCTACCCCTGTAGTCCGGGACACCGTTGCCGGCCAGGAACCTCGTCGGCTTGAACGACGCCGCGTCCTCCCACGCGCCCTCGTCGCGCGCGATCGCCCACGCGTTGACCACGACTCGCGACCCCGCCGGGACGTGGTAGCCGGAGACGACGGCGTCGGCGGCGGTCTCGTGGAGGAGGAGCGGGATCGGCGGGTGGAGGCGGAGGGTCTCCTTGATGCAGCACCGGAGGTAGGTCAGTTTCTCGAAATCGGGCTCTTCTACCTTGCGGCCCAGGCCCACTACGTCCGTCAGTTCTTGTTGGGCCTTTCTAAGGTCTTCTGGGCTTCGCATCAGCTCCGACATGGTCCATTCTATCGCGGACGCTACTGTCTCGGTCCCGCCAAACATCACATCCTGAAACATTTTTCATAGGAAAGTCAAAAAGACGAATGTTCAAATATCTGGACAGTGAGTCAGTGTCAAACTTCAAATGGTATGCTAAAAAGTAAAATAAAATTAAAAAGCAATATTTTTAGTCCCCCGATAAATGAGGCATTTGAGTCATCAGGTGTGTAATATGTTACCGGATAATATAGTGAATCGAATAATTAATTAATTCTTTTTATATAATAATATTATTACATAAAATATACAAAAAAATAATAAAAATAAATAATTTATTTGTATTTTTATACTTTAAAATCATAATGATGTTGTATATTATAAATATATAAACATAAATATAAATATATAACTTTCATTTTAAATTAAAAATATTAAAAAAAAATATATAAAATGATATATAGGGTCGATTGAATTTTGATTAAAGATTGTTTTTGTTGAAATTTCTGTCTTTCACTAGTAATAAAAATGAAATGTTTTTTCGACAGATTTTCATTGTTTTGGAAAATGTGATGGACTGTAAAATGAAAACTATGTATAATTAAAATTGATTTGATAAAAATAATAAATAATTAATATAAGTATTTGTCTTATTTTATTAACCCTCATGTAATATGATTTCAAAGACAAAGAATTTCATTTTGTTGGCTCACATAACATGAGTCTGTCTTATTTTAATGTATTACGTATCCTCTTGAAGTTTATAAAACTTTTTTACTATAAGCATGGCTTGGCTTGAAAATTGCTTACGTCATATCTTCTACAAAACATGTTCCACTTTTTACAAATTGAACATATAGTAATTATTAGCACAATAAATACTTAAAGATTTGTCTGCCACAGCCAAATCGTCAAACCCGTCACACTCTATTAATAAAAATAATAAAAGTACAGATTATTTATATTATAATTTAACATTTTAGTTTAAAAATATAAATATCTATTCTATTCTAAAATATTTGTAAATATTTTAGGTAGAACATATATATTAGAGTCACACACAATTAAATACAAAACAAGAAAAAAATTGTCGTTTATTCATACCATAATAATAGCTTTGATGTTATTCCTTGTAAGTTTGATCGAACTCTTCAAATCTTCAGCTTCTGAAACCTTTCCTTGATCATCACTATAGAAAGCCAAGAGCTCGTCCACCATGTCGCTATCCAAGGGCTCGACGGGCTTTTCCTTTCTCATATGCTCGTCGATTATAGTGTCGATAAACCTGTCAAGCGAATCCCGGGCCCTGACGAGCCTCCCGTTGAGTCCCTGCAAATCAACCCAACCCAACCACGGAATAAAATCCGCGACATTGAACGCGCCAAACAACTTTGAAAACTCTTGCAAGATCTTGATAAACTCTTCCGGGCCCTCCTTGGATCCCGACCCGAACGCGGCCCGGTATATAACATCCCGGGTCAGCCCGAACACGAGCTCCCCCACATTGACGGGCCTGCCAGAGCCCGCGGCCTCAGCCACGGCCCGAACCATCACATCCACCTCGGCCCGAACCGAGGCCCAAGACTCGGCCCGTTTACGGCTAAAGAGCTTCATCACGCACAACTTGCGCATTTGTCGCCAGAAGGGCCCGTAATGCGCGAAGGCCATGTCGGCCCGATCATAAGTAAGGTAGCGTATGGCGGCGGTGGCGGGCCGGTTTGAGAAGATGCTGTCGTGGGTCTGAAGAACTTCGCGGGCCGTGTCTGGGCTCGACACGACTATCATGTGAAGGGAGCCCAAGCGGAGGTGGAAGATGCCACCGTAGAGCTTGGCGAGATGGGCCAGCCCGACGTGAGTCAGCTGGCCCATCATGCCCATGTTGCCGATAACAGGCCAACCGCTGGGCCCGGGAGGGTAGCGCTTGGCCCGGTATCGGGATAGGGTGAAGAGGATAAGGAGAGGGATTAGGAAGAGGATTGGCAAGGGAAATTTGGTGTCTAGGGCTAGGGTTATAAGAGCATGTATTTTGTTTTCCATTTTTTTTTTAGTTATTATTAGATATTATTGGGTTTAAATTTTTATGAAGTATAAAAAGAGGTGGGGAGGATTGTATTTGTATGCAACTCTATTTTTTATTTGGTTACGGTTTGTGGGATGTGGCGAGGGGTTTATATAGTGAGCAAAGAGGTTGTGTAGGTAGAGATATTTTAAATTTTTAATTTGATTATGTTAAGAGACACTGTAACTAATTTTGAGTAAATCATGTAGATTAAAACATGCTTGGTTTGATTAATATGGGGTGTTCAAATTGAAAAGATAGCTCGTTTGTAAACAATAATGATTATTAAATGAGCTGGACGGTTCATTTAAACAAGAAAATAGG